AAATTAGCTAGCATTTGTTGCCCTCAACGCAGAAAAACTAAAGCAGATACCTTAAAAGCAACTGAGGCCAATAGGAGAAGGGGACCAGGAACTAGAAAAAAGGTTAGATCAAAAAGAATTAACCTAGAATGTAACACACACGCACAGCAAATTAATGTGAGTCAACTCCCTGTGAAGCTATCCTTATCTCAACTAGCAAAAACTCTTGTTCCATCCTATTATTGCTTATACTCTTTCTTCAACAAAATTAGAGATAAGGGCAAAATAGTTTCTGCCGGGTATGGAGGGGGTTGGGGGGAGAGGGAGGGGGCAGAGTGGGTGGTAAGAGAGGGGGTGGGGGCAGGGGGGAGAAATGACCTAAGCATTGTATGCAAATATGAATAACAAAAAAATAAAAATTTTAAATAAATAACTAAAATAAAATAACTACCTTTTGAACATGTTAAAAGAAAAAATATACACAGTGCTTATTTGTAAGTGAAATGCAAAGATATTTTAAGACATTTGCATCACTATTTTCAATTATTCACAAATGAGTTATTAATCATTAATACTACAGATTAATACAGAAAAATATAACATCCTAAAAACAGAAATGTTGTAAAGGAAGATAGTTTTTTAAACCCCAGGTCATTCTGCCAATTAGTATTACTGTTTATTATTTATTTAATGTGCTCAGATAAAAGACAAATCCACTTCATACTCCACATATGAAGTATAAAATTATTTGGAAATTATGTGCACATCTATGACATATCAAATTGCACATCTGAATTTGTCTTCATAAGTAAGTTTAAACACTGTTTGAAAATGCCTTTTTTGCAGGGAGTGATAATGCCGTTATTTTTCATAATGAAATTGTGGTGGCTGGTTATTTAATATGTAACTGACCTATCTAACTTGTCTATTAGAGTTATGAAGTTTCCTGATAAAAAGATCTGTCCTGAATGGCATTCATGTTTGGTTTTAAAGACTCAAGTCTTTCTGAGAACTGTTCTTTTTGAGAACAGTTCTGAAACTATAACCTTAGTGCGATTCTCCACTAAGGTACACAAAATGTTTCATATGAAGTTTTATTTTGAAATGATATGTTTAATATTCAAGTAAAATATACAGTGGTCACTAGTCACTTAATATGTGGCCACTGAACACTAGAAATGTGGCTAACGCTCCCGAGAAAATAAATTTTTAGTTTTAATAATTTTAATTAATTTAAATTGGTACACATAGGTGGTGGTCTCCATATTGAACAACACAGCTCTAAAAGTTGATGTGCATCTTGTCACACACACACAAAATGCATCATTACCTGGTTACTTCAGTGGGGCTCTAACACTCTACTAACATACAGCAAAGATAGAAGAAATTCAACCTTCTTTTTAATTGGCTACAATAAGACACTGCATTGGAATGTAAAGAGCAGTTTCTCAATAAAATGACCAATCAAGTACATTAGTTTTACAGTTAGAATTAAGAAATATGTGGAGAAATAAGTGAACGTAAACAAGTGTATTACTGGAAATGGTAAGTAAATCAAAATCTATCTTTTTCTTGAAACCAATTTAAATAACAAGCAGTAACTGTAGTAGTTAAATAAGTAGAAAGCATACTACTTAGACGTTTTCTACAAATACATCTTTCAGGGCACCTGGGAGTTAAGACAAAGAAACAATAGAAACCTTACCTCTAATTTATGTTAAGAATCTTGGAAGGAGTAAGAAAAGACTGGTGACTGTAGGTAGATGTTGGAGAATAGCTGAGCTACCAGCTCCTTTGGTCCTCAGCAAATTTGCTGGGTTTTAATCTAATCCAATTTCACCCTGAACTTTAAATTTATTATTTGAGAGCTCATAAAAACAAAAACAGTACTGGGATGTGGGGCATCTGCCTACAGTCTCAGCAACCTGCGAGGCTAAGGATCACAAGTTTGAGGGCAGTCTAGGCCGATACATACATATGCATGTGTATCAAACACACATAGACACATGAATAAATTCTGAAAACAAAACAAACAAAAAGACACTAACGCCAACCTCATGTGTTTAATTTAAAATGAAAAATATATTTTATGTTGGGAATACAGAACTTTGTACTAAATTTGAAATTTTCTGCTCTAAAATAAAATGTTTATTTAAAATTTACAGTAAGCTAACTTTATTCACAGATTTATTCATAAAGTTTTGATCAAGCATGGTCAAAAATCAATCAGCCAAAAGAAACCTCAAAAACAATAATTTTATGTACAATTAGCTTTTTTTCACATTTATCCATTTTGCTTTACCTTTCTCTTTGAAAATTTTCTAGTCCAATTATGAGATACATAGTGGTTTCCCTGAATTTCTTATAATCTTGATGCCATTCCTGTAGGTGAAAGAAAATATTAAAAATATAAAGAGTAAGATTTAAAATGAGATAATTTACAAAGTAATGTGCTGTTATGATAACTCTCTGAATTAAGAGAAACAAAGATATGTCAGGAATGGAGGAAGGGAGGATAAAGGTGAGCAGTGGAGGAGGTGAATTCAAGTATGATATATTTGATCTACTGTAAGAACTTTTGTAAATGCCACATGTACCTCCACACTGCACAACACTTAAAAAGCAAAAGAGAAACAAAGAATTCAAAATTAAAGAGAAACTAGATAATTTGTATTTTACTTTTTGACACAAAAGACTACTTTTTTATGTAATAATAAATGCAACATTAGGCATTGATAAAAAATTAAATAATAAAGGTCTCATTAAAACTGAAAATGTAAAGGGAGGATAATCAATCAGTTTACTTTCAAAAATTCTTCAGTATAAAAATCATTAAAATATTACTGTAGTGCAGGTAACTGTTTCATATAAAATGTGTGGGGCCAGAGCATCTCAGATTTTGTAGTTCTTCTGATTTTGAAATATTTGCAGAGACTTTACCAGTTGAACATCCCTTGTTCAAAAAATTCAAAACTTTCAGTTCCAAAATCTAAAACTTTTACTTGAAAGTTTTGGCATTCAAAAAGTTTTAGATGTCAGAGCTTTTCTGAAAATTTATCTCTATCATACTGAAAGAAGGAAATAGAATCAATTTATTACTTTAATATGTGTCAGAGCTATAGCACTCTTAAGGAATTAAAACAAAAGTTACAATACAGGCATTCAGCTTTGTCAAATGTGTGGTAAGGTTAGAGTACAGCTATGCATCCATTCACCTGAGAGATGGTGAAGGGATACTGCAGTTTACACTAAACTTCTCCTTCCCCCAAAATTACAGAGCACATGAGAGTTGGGACTGAGTGGTGCTAAACTGATTCCCTTTAACTCTTGAGGCAACAAAACTGGGATTTTCTTGTTCAAAAGTTCACTCAAGAAAACTAAAATTCAAGGTAAGATTAATTTAAAAAGGGGATTCTGATAATAAAAATGTTACAGCTTTTATACAATGCTTATCATTTCATCATAAGCAAATGAAAACAAGAAAAATGTAGATATATTATTAGCGAACTGTGCTTTCCTTGAATATAAACTATTTTAATTTATAATTTTTAATCTTAATTAATTTTTCAAGTCATAATCTTGATATTATTAGATCTTAATGACAAAGATAAAATTTCTTCTATAAGTACAAAGCTAACTTTTCTGGAGGAAATGCAAATTTAAACCACCACTCCATAAAGTGCTGACTAGGCTAAGTTTTTCTATAAAGGGAAGACAGCAAATGTCTTAGCCTAAATCCGTCCATGCAACCTCTGTTGTAGTTACTCAACTCTGTGACTATAGTGGCTGAGCAGTCACCATCAACATATAAACAAAGGCTATATCCCAATGAATCTACTTATAAAAACAGGCAGTGAGCTAGATCTGGTCTGCAGACCAAGGTTTTCTGACTACTGAACTTAGAGCAAGACAAAGATCCAAGGAAGGTACAACAACCAAAAACATGTATAATTTACTGATTTTCAGTTTAAAAAAATGAGGTTTTAGAATAAAAATATGCTGAATTCTTTGAAGTAACCTGGTAAAGAATCACATCAGAATTAAAAGATAAGTCCCATGAACCCAAACACAGGAGACAAGAACAGAGATCAATCACTTTGAAAGTCACAGATTCAGAGCTATTATTTGCTAAATCGCCACGAGGGAACATATTCTGAATATCTATGGCTCCAGATTGTATATCCCAATAAAAATCTCTGGTAGATGTGTTTCTTTTACAGGCAAATAAATGTCTTTAAGCTTCTGTTCATGCTGAGTTCTAGACAGCTTTATGCGAAAGCCTCATGGTTAAAATATATTTTGTACATGAAGTGAAAAAGAAATTCTATTTTATTTATTTCCCAGAAAAACTTAATAAAAAACACTCCCATTGTGAACATATTAGCTCCCACCTCTGGCACACATGTTGGATCTAAAATATTATAAGGTTGTAATAGTTAACACACTACGTCTTGATTTCTAATGAATTAAGGCTGTCCACCCACTTTTAAGAATGTCTCAGATAGATTAGAATCTTTGCATTTCCCAACAGACTTTTTCATTAAAATTATCAACCTCTATAAAACAACTTGCTAGATTTTTTTAGATACTGAACTGAATCTGTAAAACATTTGGGAAAAACTGGCATCTTTAAAATATCAAGTTTTGCAAACATCGTATGTGCATCCATTTACTTAGGCCTTCTTTAATGTCTTCTACTTCAGTTAGGGTTCTCATCAAAAAGTGTTTTTTTTCTGTATCTTTCTCTTCTCTGTTAATGTGGTAAATTACAATAATTAAAGTAACTTAAGTATGCAATGGAACCAGATGTGCATAGGGAAGCAATTTAAAATTTGCCAGATTTGTAAGGGGAAAGACAATATATAAAGTTAAAATTTAAAGATTTAAAGAAATAGTAGGTGTTTGAATTGGTCAATGAAAAAAAAATATTTCCAAGTCAAAATTTAGAATTTTTGCACCAAAAAAAATCCCATAAACTATCATACAAATGTTCCTTTGCATGCTCTCTCTCAAACAACACTATTTCCAGGGAGTGAATTCAAGTATGATATATCTGATACATTTTAACAACCTTTGTAAATGCCACCACAATGTACCCCCAGCCAGCACAACAACAGAGGAAAAAACAAAACAAAACACTGTCTCATAATGATAAAAACATACGACATACAATGACTAAAATGAATCTCAACCTCCCACCAAAATATATGATGAAGCAAACTGAAGGAAAAAATATGTAGAATGTAGTTAGTGCAATACAGGAGTATTAGCCAAGCTAGAAACTTCTAGCTATGAAAACTTCAGCCAGGTTCATTCAGTTCTCTTTGCCTCATATTCTCATGTGTAAAACAGGATTAAGAACACCTTCCTTAATACAAGTAAAGGGCTCAGAAGAATGCTCAACAGACAGTGTGCTCTTGAAAAATTAGTTGTCATGTAGCAGCAATTCCAAAATTAACAATGTTAACAGTTTAACTAGAAAACTTCATTAAAAATATAGCTGACAACTAGTATTGGAATCCAAGAGAACTACGCATCAAAATAACTTGAAACTTCCTGTTTGGTTTTAAACTTTTTGATATCATGCCATTTAAGGAAACTAAGCCCAACAACATTTCTGAAAGTGTTAGCACTTTGGCACTGACTTAGAAAAGTAGTTTTTATTTATCATCCATGGTGAATACAAGCTTAGCTATGCTAAAATGAGAGGATGCCTCAATCTAGAGTTCAGTTTCTCAGAGAAGGACATTACCTCATACTCCTCCAAGTTCACTTCTTCAGGTTTTATCATTTCAAGCTTTGCTTGAGCAACTTTCATTATGTTGTGACTCCTTCAAATAAAAGAAATAAATGAAGAGTAAAATCTATAAAAACTGGAAAATATGTTATAGAAAACTAAACTACCAAGCATATTAACATGACATCTATTGTCAATGAACCAGCAAATAACTTTCAGTTATAAGTGAAAAATGTGGCTTTTGAACCAATGTTTGATAGATAATAAGTTACAAAGAAGGTATCAATTCTAATTCAAATTTACTATATAATATTCTTATATAGCTTTTAAACTACACTCTAACCAATACAGTTTACATGAGAAGAAAGAGCCTAAAATATGCCTATCATGTCAGGTAGAAAAAGAAGCATTTCAGTAGCCTTTATCAGAAGAACTATTGCTAAAAAAAAAATCCCACAAGACAGAGGAACCATATAATCAAAACAGACTACTTGTCAAAAGACTGAAAATCAATGTAAGTACCTCATTGATTTTTTCCCCAATTTCAACAGCACATTCATTGCAAAACAGTCCCTCTGATGGCTCAGATGAGTTTTAATCAGTCATACTTCTGAACTCTTTGTAGTCAGACATAACAAAATAAGTAATGTCTGCACTGCTATTAATAATACTAACAGCCAACATCAACTGAGCACTCAGCAGTCTACCAGATACTGTTCATAAACTTCTCCCTGTATTTTTTCATTTAATCTCCAAAGCCACAACAGATGTATGGTATGGTGAGGCAGCAACTGGTCCTACATGCCTTGTTCCCCTTTATATTTTCCTGTGCTACACATTTGTATTTTATGAGATATTTGTAAAAAGATAATCATTTACTTCAGAACTAATATGTAATGATAATGAACTCTAAAACGGCATGTTTGGGTATACTAAAATAACTCCTAATACCATGGGCCTTTATCTGGAGTCTAAATTTTTTTTAATGTCATTCATTGTAATTAGACTTTTTTTTTTTTTTTTTTTTTCTGTACTGGGGATTGAAGTGAAGGCCTCACACTTACTAGGCAAGTGCTTTGTCATTTAAGCTATGCCCCTAGTTCTTTAGCTTTCAGTCTGTTTTGCATATAGGGTCTTGCACTTTTGAGCAGCCTGCGATCCCACTTCCTCTGCTTCTCAAGTAGCTGGGATACAGACACGTACCACTACACTAAACTTTTGTTTTTTGAGATAGGGTCTTACTAACATTTGCTTGGGTTAGCCTTGAACTGCAATCTTCCTGGGTAGCAAAATTTACATTTTTAACATTAGGAGTTTTATAGGAATACTTAAAATAGATGTCAGTGAACCAAGTTAATTTAACTATTCCAAGCCTTCTCTTATGTCAAAGAATGCTTTAGTTTATTTTTACATATAACTAGAAACTTTTGTTCAGTAATTCTCACAGAAGGGCAATTTTGATTCCCTACAGGTTATTTTAGAGTATCTTAAGATGTATCAGTTTGTCACAACTTGGGGGTGTTATAAGAAGTCATGGACATTGCTAAATAGCCTATAAATCACGCAGCAGCACAGAAGACAGAATGATCTGATCTAAAATATCCACAGTACAGAGGTTGAGATAACATTCTCTGAAGTACTGAGTCATAAGGACAGTGACTTGATTCACAATTAAAGTACATTAAAATCATCTATATTATTTTCAGTTCAAACTTTAAAGGCCATGGTTACAGATGTCAAAGAAATTATAAAGCAACTACTCAAATTAACTGACATATTTTTGTGCTATATTTATTAAAATGTTCTAATGCATATATAAAATTACATTTGGGATCTGTAAAAAAGGGACAATTTAAGTATATGAATTAGATATTTTTCATTTTAATATTACCTTTCATCAAAACTCAAATTTCTATCTCCAAATTGTTCTAGTAATGTTTTCTCAATGATTTTCTTTGGTGCCTGGTTCTGGATAAAGTAGACCATTACATGATGTAAACGGTAATCTGTTTCTGGTGGGGTATCTTCTTGGGCCAATTTAACCAACCTTGAATACTCCAACTTAATTGCCTATAAAATGCAACAAGAATGACAATTTTGGTCAATTATAATATTTAAAACCCTTTAATATAATTTTAATTCTCATGGCACTCAAATGTGTTTTCCTTTTAATGTACTACAAATAAGACAGTACATCTAAGAATGCCCCATGTTCCATACTCTCAAAAAATTTTCTGAGTAACTAACCACCTAGGCCTTTTCTTATCCTGTCATTTTATATAAATGGACTTTTTTGTTTCCACACAAAAGTGATTAAAATAATACACTTAGCTTATGACTAATTCTGAAAATTTACAAAAGTCTAGTCAAACTCTATTCAGAGGCATCACAAGAGGAACATGCTAGGTTCTTCTACTCTGCTTGGCCTTTCTAACATCAGTTTACATTCCAGGTGATACACAATTCCCCAGAATACGTAACACCTGAAAGAAAATGGCTGGCTTTAAAATGCACAGTAATATTACTACGACTTTTAGTCGACCACTCTATAAATGAGAGATGAAACAGGAAACCCTGAGTCTGGTATCTACAATATGAATTCTTTGATGCTACAACCGTATTTGAATTTTTCTGTTATAATGATTATATATTATTACTTCGATGTTTATCTTTTCTTTATAAACAAATACCTCAGGATTTATAAGTAATTATAATGGAACACAATAAATATTAATATGTTTCCACACGAGAAAAACAGGGAAATATATGAGTACAAAATATGCATAATTTATTCATCAAATACTGCTGTATACATGAAGCCCACATGATTAAAGGTAACACTTTTTTTTTCAATGCTGACATTTGAACTCAGAGCCTTGTGCTTACTAGGCAAGTGGTCTACCACTTGAGCTATACTGCCCACCACTTTTAGCTCTAGTTATTTTTCATAGGACCTAATGTTGTTGCTTAGCTAGCCCAGATGATCATCCTCCTATTTAAATCTCCCGCATACCTGAGATGACAGGTGCATGCCACAACACCCAGTTTTATAGGTTGAGATGGGGGAATTGCTAACTTTTTGCCTCATCTGGCCTCAAACCTTGGTCTTCCAATCTTTGTCACTGCAGTAGCTGGGATAACAGGTGTGAGCAACTTCACCCAGCCAAGATAACATTTTTTAAACATTCATTTATATTAGGCTTGTATCTATATTCTAGCTCTATTATCCATAAAACATTTGGGGCTACATGAAAGATATATTACAAGAAATCCATTCTATTAGAAAGGTCTTGCTGTTTTTAAATGCATGCCTTTCCTTGAGTAATTCTTGTGCATCCAGATGCTATTATATTTGTGGCCATGTTACTGAAGGAAGGAAAATTAACTAAGAAAAACATTAAGTGAAATATGCTAGTTATGTAGTATCATAGTTCATTAAAAGGAAGATTAGTAAAAGTCCTTTCTATGTAGTAAAGCATTATAAATAGAATGAGGTAATTATTTTTATAGCTAAACAAACTATTCTAAATTATTAGATTTTCCCATGGTGAAAATGATCTTTTGTTTCTTCAGGACATAAATGTAATTTCAACATCTTATTGCTACGGCTAAAAGAGCCCTAAAAGTCAAATGTATTTGACACATAAGATTACCAAGGTTCAGTTTGTGCCTGACTCACGTATTAGAACTCTTCCAGTTTTTCCTATTTCCCCAATGGGGAGAGGAGGAACAAGTTCATTTAATAACCAAAGTATGTTTCATTTGAGAAAAAATGTAAAACATTAAAAACTGTTCTTTGTTATGGCCCAATGATTGTTACAGACTATTAGATGACTTTTAGAATAACAAATGTTTCAAAAATCATGAGTTTGGTAGAATAAGTATAGTTAAAATAACAAAAAAGTATTGTCCCTTAAAATAATATTGGCATACACATAAGGGGTTATCAGATACTTCTAACTACTTTCAAGTTAGAAGGTGTGACTTCTTTTTATAAAGAGAGGTTTCTAATAGTGAAATATATAGACTCACAATTTTGTTCAATGTAAGAGTCTCCTAATTTTTACAAATGAATGCCAAAGTCACAGTACTTTTCACCTCTATGTATAAAAGCCAGTAGAGACAGAAAGGCACTTCTAAACTTCTTGGAGTAATTTTTCAAGCGTATACACACACACACACACACACACACACACACACACACAGTTGTCAGCATACTGGAATTTCTTGAGTATTTTTTAGGAATTTCCTTATTAAGAAATTGTGTAAATTTTAAATGCTGGAATCCTATCTACTCAAACTCTCCACAGATGCATCATGCTGTTACATTTAGCAGGTCCTGCACAATATGCCATTTGAGTAAAGTTAACACTGTGTTAAATTACCTCAGACTAATTTCTCAGTATCATGTTCTAGGAATTATATTTGTCCATAATTCTGGCTGCCTGTGATGATAATTACTTTATTTTTCATTGCAGCTGCTGCAATGAAAATAGCACATTTCAATACAAAATACAATACAATACAAAATATGACACTGCTCATTAGGTAATGAAACTGCTTTGTACTGTTTAAATTTTTTTTTAATCAGGCTTTAATCAGACCCAATGTTACATATTGAGTCTTATTTCCTATTGCTCCTCAGCATGGACCTCCTTCTATCTAGGTCAGGCTTGTCTTCCCACAAATCCACATATGGCTTTATTTCTTGGATTATCTGCACATATGATATTCTCCCATTTATTCCCTGTCTATAGATAGCCTATCAGTTAGCTTAGCGGAAGCCACTTTCCTGAAACTTCCAACTCTTAAGACAAAAAAAATAAAATTCAGAAAGCTACACATGTCATTTATTAACAAACTGTGACACAAAACAAGGTAAATATTCCTCTAAGAGTTGATATTCTTATCTCTAAAATGTATTTTTAAATGCTCATGTAATATTTTTGAGACTTGAGTAATGTAATAAAACCAGACATGAAATAAGAAATAAGTACAACAAAAGTGGTTAGGAATTACTGGGGAACAGTTTAATAAGGGAATCAACTAAAAAGCTATTAGAAAACTTAAGATTTATAAGGTAACTGCTTATGACAAAAATATATAAAATTACCTTTCCAGTTACCTAGCTTGACCTTTACTTGGTAGAAAAAAAATGACCAATTTATAAGGACAAAAAACTTTTAAATACTTAAAAGATACAAAACAGATCTGGAGCTAAATTAAAAAACTTTTAGCCAAAGAACATAACAGAAGATGACAGAAGTGAAAGGCAAATTAAGTTCCTTTTGAAGAGTAACGAGCATACTAAAGATACAATTTTCTTCATGTATGTTTTGGCCATTTGTATTTCTTCCTTTGAAAAAGTTCTGTTCATTTCATTTGCCCATTTCTTCACTGGGTCATTGATTTTTGGGAAGTTTAGTTCTTTGAGCTCCCTGTACATTCTAGTTATTAATCCCTTGTCAGATGGATACCTGGCAAAGATTTTTTCCCATTCTGTGGGCAGTCTCTTCAATATGGTGAACACTTCTTTTGTTGTGCAGAAGGTTTTTAATTTCATGTAGTCACATTTGTCAATCATTTCTCTTAGTTGCTATGTAGGTATCTATCCAGCAACATTTACTGAAGATGTCTTTTCTCCATCATATGTTTTGGGCACCTTTGTCAAGAATCAGGTGGGTACAGATGTGTGGACTCATATCTGGGTCTTCTGTTCCATTCGTCTTCAGGTCTATTTTTGTGCCAATACCATGCTGTTTTAATTGTGATGGCTATGTAATATAGTTAGGAGTTAGGAATTATGGTACCTCTAGCATTACTCCTTGGCTATTCATGGTCTTTGTGTTTCCAAATGAACTTGATTGATTTTTCAATCTCTGTACGAATGTCACTGGAATTCTGGCGGGGATGCCATGGAACATGCAATTGTTTTTTGGCAATATAGCCATTTTGACAATATTGATTCTGCCAATTCATGAGCATGGGAGATCTTTCACTATTCTGTAGTCTTCAATTTTTTTTTCAATGGCTTATAGTTTTCATTGTAGATGTCTTTCACTTCCTTTGTTTATTCACAGGTATTTTATTTATTTTTTTGAGGCTATTGTAAAAGGAATTCTTTTCCTATTTTCTTTCTCTGTTCATTGTTGCTATATAGAAAGGCTACTGATTTTTTTGTAGAACTGACTTTGATTCCTGCTACTTTGCTGAAGGTGTTGTGCCCTTGTTTGGTTTGGGGATGAGTATAATACTGAATTTTTAGAATGATTTTGTCAATGTTCCTGCCATTTATATTTCATGGAAAAGACTGAAGACTGTTGATATTCTGCATTAAAGGTCTGATAGAATTCAACAGTGAATCTGTCAGGTTCTAGACTTTTCTTTTTGGGGAGATTCTTTATTGCTGCTTCAATTTCATTGCTTGTTGTAAGTCTATTTAGGTAATTTTAGTTGGTTGTATGTGTCTATAAATTTACCCATTTTTCTAGATTTTCCAATGTATTTGAATATAGGTTTTCAAAGTAATTAATCCATAATGATTCCCTGGATTTCGTTGGGTGTTTGTTGAGATCTCCCTTTTTATTTTCTAATTTTATTAATTTGGGTCTTTCCCTCCTCATTTTAGTCAGATTTGCTAGGATTTTACCAATCTTATTTATCTTTTCAAAGAACCAACTTTTTGTTTCACTGATTCTTTATATGGTTTTCTTGGTCTTTTTTGCTGATTTCAGTCCCTATGTCTCTCCTTCTGCTAGTTTAGGGGTTATCCAGCTGTATTACTAGGAGTTTGAGATGCATTAGATTGTTAATTTGAGATCTTCCTGTATTTTTAATATATGCATTCATGGCTGTAAACTTTCCCCTCAGCACTGCCTTTACTGTGTATCATAGGTTTTGGTAGGTTGTGCTTTCATTTTCATTAAATTCCAGGAACTTTTAAATTTCCTTCATTGTTTCTTTGATGACCCACTGATCACTAGGCAATGTGTTGTTCAGTCTACAGCTGTTTGAGTAGATGTTTCTTTTTGTTATTGAGTTCTAGTTCTATTCCATTGTGACAGACAGTA